AGTATCACACTTCTATTCAAAATACAGAAACTGCAGTAAAACATGATCCATTGCGCTTTCTGTGACGTTCTATGATGTACAAGTCCTCTATGTGTCGATAGGAACACTCCAGTCGCCGAATTGCTTTAAGTGAGTATCAATGCGCTCAACAACCTCGGAATCAAACCCGTCAATGCCACTCTTATCCAACATGGCAAGTTCTTTTGTCGTCAAGTAGACTACATTATCCGGGCGCAAAGGGCGATTTGTACGCCAGCGAGCCAAGTACAAACGATCATGGCCACCATTGCGCGTTCCGCTTACAGAACTGCGTCCCCGCCATATTTCTTGATAAATAAACTCGAGTTCATCTTTCCCTAGTTCGATTTTATGACCCTCGTGGAACAACACGTGTTCACGCTGCTGGAGCTTCTGATACAACTTGGTGCGTTGGTCGCGAGACAGCCGCGCAACTGCCTCCGGATTTAGCTTCTTGCCAGCCAAGTCGCAAAGGACATATGCTGCCATGGATTGTCCGAAGAGTGCAGGCATTGTTCCGAGCACTGGAATCACACGAATGCGAAAGTTTTCCACGTTGCCAAACTCTTCGGGATTCTGCGTTTGCACAGCATCCAACGGTAGCAATTTGCAGACACTTTTTTCACTTGAGAAAATGGTTGTGATCTCTGATGCCAAGATATTCTTCTTCTTCAAGAAATATCGAATCTTAGTCGCTAGAGGGTCACCTACCAGTAGACACAAAAAACGTCAGGCTTTACACTATAATATCATCCGGGCGAATACGTACGGACTGCATCTTTCAGCGAACCGATCTGTAGGCGTGTTGGGTCAGCTTTGGCACCAGCTCCAGTTGCCGTAATGACTTTCAGTCCCTTGCGTGATACAGCCTCCAAAAGCGCACATTTGGTCTTAACGTCGTCGATACAATCCAAGACGTAAGCCGGGGTGCCTTCCAGTAGTTCATCGGCACTGCCGGCCTCGAACATGACAGTCATGTCTTCAATTTTGCAATCCGGAACAATACTAAGAAGGTGGCGCTTCATGGCCGATACTTTCGATAATCCCACATCGCTACGAGTGGCAACCGCGTGGCGATTCAGTGACGACAGTGTGACGTTGTCAAAGTCAATGAGCCGCAACTTGCCCACTCCCGAACGCGCCAACATATGTGCAGCATGAGATCCCACACCTCCCAGTCCTATAATAATTATAAAAGCATTTTTGACCTTGGCGAAGCCTTCTGGACCGAAAAAGGCAGAGATACGGGAAAGCTGCTCCTCCAGTAACTCTTGGGTCGCGGCTTCTGTCCCACGACGGTTCGTTACAACTGATTCTGACAATTGTGTAGTGGAGTCACTTTGATGACGCGTAGTTTGGTATATATATTGTGCAGCAATTGCAGCTGCCGCGCCAGCGCCAAACGCAGCCGCGAGAGGGACAGTGCTTATAGCAACCATTCGCTTGCAGTGAATTTGCCCAATTACAGACGAAGAAAGTATCATTCAGCCATACCAATAGTATTATTATGAACGACGTACTATCTCTGACGGACAGCTGTTCTATTCTACGGTGCTCTGATGCTGATAACTACTGCTTCATTAGCTCTTCGATTGTCTTCTCTAGACATTGCTGCATGTAAATCCAGCACCGTAAATTAAAAAAAATTGGTGTGCGTAATCAAATTCTTACCAGGTCTTTTATGCGACCAAACAGCTCCGACTCCAAGCACTCAATCTATCAAAGGCACAGTGAGATCCGGCATTTGTGCACGATGAAGCATGTTTAGATTGTCAGCTAATATCTCACCACCTCAGAAATACGCCGACACGTCATTGGATCAGGTTCATTCATTTCTTCAAGCTGATGCACACAATTATTATTTGTTTTCCGTCCGCGATTTGGTCGTAATTTCGGGTTTTGGGATAAGCCCTGTTTGAAAGCACTTTGAGAATGCACAGAGCCAACATCATTCAAGCATTCCTCAAGTGACGTTAACGCAGCTTTGGCTTTTAAAGTACTGCAAAAAGAGTGCCTTCACAAAGCGTGTAATGGCAGAAATTAGCAAGAGCGAAGCAAGCACATTAAGCATCGTACTTAACAAATTGAAGAGCAGGATCTATAAATTCGTGCATTTGACCGTTTGGATCACCATCATCATCCCCACATTTAGGTACCCCGTTATCGACGACAAGCTTTTCAATAGCACCTGCATCTTCTTGTTGCAATGCAAACGTTCCATCTTGATGACTCATCGAGCTCTATATACAAACGACGATCGAAATCGCACAATTTTACCGCATGTCAAGTCTAAGCTGACCTGCATATCGATATTTGATAGATGGATATCCTCCTTGCGACGCAAACCATGAAAGGAGCGGTCTGGATCAGGACAGATTCGGTGAACGTGGTCATGAATCCAGTGCAAGAACTCAAAATGCTCTTGAAAAATACCCCGAGCTAATTTTGGTATAGGAATTTCCTGCATACGCATCAAACGCTCGCGTAATCACGTTAACAACACAAAATAGTAATTCATCGAAGAAAGCTTGCACCTTTCGAACATCGCATAGGTGAAATGCACACCGAAGCACCTTTAAGTTGCGCTCATTTTCTGTCTCAGTTCGAGCATGTAAATTTAATCGTTTCAAATTGACCTTGCCGGGGTAGATAGTATTAAAGATTTGGCAATAAGCGATGCCATCAGCAAGGTGCTCAATCTGTATGCTCATCGTAATATCGTTATGAGGGGGTATTGACGAAAATGGCGATTTCATCTCACTTTTGTGTAATCTGTCTGAAGAAACTCATTTAGCCACGCAAGCAATTCCAAGCGACCAATACCTCGCCATTTAAGCTTCCTTAGACTCATTTTAAACAGTCTGCCCGCCGTTTCGAGATACAACTAATAACTGTTAATCAGCTGAACTTTATTTGCTCAAGCCCAAAGATGATGTCTGTATTTATTTCAAACGCTTCTGAATAATTCCAAAACTCACAACGTATTTTTTACAGTTTGAAATAATCATTATTAGCTTTACTGAATTCGTCATCATGCTAAAAAGGAAGAGCGTACTCTTCACTCTCTTTTGCAATTTACAAAAAATTGTAATAGCAATATCCATTTATCTTCTTTCCGAACATGGGTTTGTCAGGGTATGTATCCTTTATTCACCGTACAGATATGTTGTTTAGATGCATTCCTCAGTAGCAACACTCATCTAACGCTTTGCCGGCCATTCATATCGCACCTAGTTTTGGCTTCAGAAGTGATAACATAAATGTTAGTACTGACTGTCAGCTGTGAGAACTGTTAAAGTATACAGTGTGTCCCCTACTAAGAAACGAAAATTATGCTCTTTAATGTCAATTGCAAATGTGGCTTGTGGTGCGTGTTCTAGTTTCAGCAATGTAAATGGTAGGCTGTGAATCTGATTGTTAGCTCGGTGAAGTTTCAATGCTTTTCGTAGCTCATATTCAACGACATTTCGATATTGTAAGACGGCGCTGTTTATAACAGTCTTTTAAACACAACGCACACGCTTGTGCGATGACGAAGCGATTCCGGACGTGGAGGAAGAAGATCAGTCCCAACTTGAAGGGAACTTAAGGCCTTGAAGTTAAATCTGCAGCTGAATTGAGAATGAATTATGGTTCCTAGCTTCAAGTAGAAGATCTCAAGGGCTCCTAGAGGTTTTATTAGTTAAATCCTGGGTCCTTGATTATCAAATCAAGGGTGTACGGAGGTCGAACCTCAGCTTCATCTAATATAAAATCTTGGGTGTACAGAGCTTGGACTTCGAAATAATAACAAACTTTTTCGAAAGACAGAGCACGTCGATCTCGTCACAAAAAAGGAACCAGCATTATGCATCACACAGAATGTTTGTGACTTCATATAAGGCGTCACGTATGCATTTGGATACACCATATTGTAATCTTCTTTTATAAACTCCAACAATGCATGCTGAAGGTACATAGATGTGCCTTCATGTGATGTCTAGGTGTCGATCATTACAGATATTTAACCAAGATTGACAGCGATTGGTATTTTGCTCGATGATACAGCACATACTTTCAATTGAATGTATGCTTACTAGGCAAGCGCGTTGCGAGCGGTAAGTACATGGTAGGTACCAACGTGTGTCACTCTCTGTTCAAGAATACTTCACTGCGCAGTTCAGCTCGTCTTGCCTTTCATGAATGACAGCACTTGTGCCTTATGTGCAAATGGAAATTATTGTTCTGCTTCATACAATTTGCATAATATCACCAAGTCATACATGTGTGAAACAATTTTGCAGAGCCATAGGTTAATCATAACTTGTATTTAGTCAGGACAAAACCATAAAAAAGTTTTAGTAAATGGTTCAGCCCATGACAACATAAATCGTAGAATGAAGACAATCATGTATTTAATCAATTAGATATAATCTCGTAAACAGCAAGAACATAGTATTATCTGCAAATTCTTCGGCTACAAATGTACTCGATCATAGTGATAAAAATGATTGGTGTTTAGTTCAGACAAAAATGGCACATTTTGCTGTTGAGAATATACTTAAAGAAGAGTGCGAATATGTATTCAATATATATAAAGGCCCTCAATATGAATATCACATCATTATTCGAAATATAGCAGTCGCACAGCATTGGTGGCTAAACACATCTTTTTTCCAGACCAGTAGTACCAGTCTTATAATCAAGATAAGGCCACAGACAACCTCATACAGTCCATAGGCATCCATATTTTTTAAGTAGTAACTGAGGACATCATAGCGTAAACAATTTAAACAAAGTAGTGATGTATCCGAATGGCAAGATTTTTTGGTATAAATATCATTTATTTCATCAAGTCTAGTCTTGGATTTTAGTTTTCTTATAATCATATATATATATATATGTGTGGATGCTGGGTTATTATCGTAAGCTAATCAAACCCCGTGTGATTCATACTCGGGTGTGTGTCATACATGTAGATGGTACCCGGTGTAGATCGTCACGAGTGATGCAGCCCGAACCAAGGCGTTCCCTTTTGCACACTATCGCAGCATTGCAAAACCTTTTAGATAAGTCCTACATTTTCAGCATCCCCACAGGGTTGGCATCCACACGCAACACATTTACTATACCATATGTCCTAGATTTAAGGTTGCCACAACTAGCGTTCAGCAGACACCTTGTTTATCTTCGGGCTGCTTCCAGAGTGCTTGAGATCATGGAATGTGGAAAAAAATTCATGTCACTTTCCACAGCAACATCAAACAAATTATTTTTCAGCTGCAACACTTCAAGGCTTTACGCACGCACGAGGAGTGCTACTATCGTCCTGGAATCTCCAAAGTTTATATACCTGGATCACCACAAATTCGTTTTACATTCCGTGTTGTCAACCCGGCAAGTGATCTTGATGTTCTTTCATCAACTGACATTGGGCACTCCGTTTTGAATGGCGCTCACATAGAGCAAAACCGTCTTAAAAATCTTTTGATCAAACCGATCGACAACGCCGTCAATGTATTAGATCTGCTTGACAGTAGCGTTATCCTTAAGCTATTATGATCAATCTCTTTTTTCTAAAATGAGCTAAGCCTCAACGATATAAAATGTATACTTCAATATCAGCTTTTCCTCTTATATGCCTCCTTTATATAGCTGTAATAACTCTGTCATTAGCAATTAAACATACTCTCGCCACGTTAATCAGCTCGTACATGCCCAAATCAATTTTTCGAAGAGCAAACATGTTTGCATACAGAATTACCGCAAAAATTGGTGGGTTTATAGGCAAAAGTTTTGGAAACTTTTTCTCGTGTATGGCACATCGTGTCACCACAGTTAATCAAAGCCACTTAAAAAGTAAATCTAGCCATGATCATATAGTAATTGTAATTGTTAACAGGGCTACTTGTTTTGTAAATCCTACTTACATCAGGCTTTTGTTATATGCTATAAATACGTTCCTTTGGTCCACACGATCGACGCAAACGTCTTACTAATTTGTAATTAAAAATATATTTGAGTTTTCTGGCCTTAGAGATGTCATCCTCATTTAAATGCTCAAAGCAAGATACACCACAAAATCGATTTGGTGCCAAACGAAGACTTACGCGCGATGACCTCTCCTCGTTGATTGTTGTAGAATGGACACGAATGCCACAGAATGCGTGAGGTCAAGGCATACAATGTGCTCAAAAGTACGGACGCATAGTTTGGAGGATTTCGGAGTTCACGAGAAATTACATGAGGAGTAATCTTCTTCACATCAATTAAACACAGAAAAGCGACCTTGTGCACATCATAACAAGAGTTTATGTAACGGGGTTACACGTACCCTTGAATTAACGGGCGGGCCACACACGATGGTGTGACCACACAGTGGTGTGGCTACACCGTAACAAAAAGGCAGTTTGCCGATAGTAATGCACATTACTATATTAATAGTGTTTGACTATAGATATTACTATATTAGTCGGCAAACTAGGCTTTAAATATTGGCGGCCAAAAACAATTAAATACAGATTCAATTTCAAACGGAAGAGTCCCTTTACCTTGGTTAAGACATTTAGTACACTTGGAGGCAGCGGATTGCGACCCGCTGCACTCGTAATGGTTCTTATAAAGAACGTAAGGTCATAGATTTCTTTAAGCAAAGAGCTATGGCAGCCTCGCACTTGGTACCACTTGTAGTCAATTTACGCCTGAGCCGTTACGACTGCTCCTCAGTGAGGATGGAGAAATACTCGTATTTGCCCCAGGGCATGCAGGACGGGCTTAACAAGCTGATGTCCCTGCTGGGTCCTGAGGGCGTGTAGCACCTTGTTGCGCAAGGACCCGAGGCGATAAGCGCACGCCTGGAGGCGTTTTTACATTATGAATACTCTGTTAGAGCAGTTACGGCAGAATCTGTCAGCGTCAGCGGTGTCATGACGCCACCGTCGACAACAATTTATTCCTCCCAACCAGGCCGCTCATGGTGAGCGTTAAAACCTTCGAGGGGAAGGATGCAGAGAATCTTTTGCTCTGGATAAGGGAGGCCGAGATGTCTATGACATCCGTTATGCTTCAAAGCGAGCAACAGGGCAAGAAGGAGTATGTGGACTTTGACCAAGAGTTGAAAACTGTCATTGCCGGAATAGCAGCCAATTTTCTCCCTGAGGTGGTCGCAATGACTGTCTTTATGGAAGGTCTCCGCATTGGTAAGACAAGAACGGAAGTTTTCCGTGTGCATCCGTCTTTTTTTGAAGAAACGGTGCATGTGGCATTGATTGCCGAATGCAACTTTAAGTCGGCACCACTTGGTTGGAGCGCACATCCTCCGAGCTTGTCGAGCGGGTCTGAGCCAATGGATCTCAGCAATGCTGAGAAAGAGGACGTGAAGCTCCGAGCTGCCGACAAGCGTATGAAAACTCGACTGTATTCTGTCTGTGGAGACACCCGTCACCTTCGGACTTTTCGGCTTCGGTTTTGTCGCGGAGAAACAAGAGGACTTAGTAGGCGTGGGGCGCCATACTGGGGAAGAACTGTGTTCTGTTGTGCCTCAAAGAGGTTAGGGTAGCAGGGCCCAGCCCCGGAGAGCTCCGTGCCCTTGAACACGGAACGTGTATGCAGATTGAGCGTGCTGGTGGTAACAGCGACCGTGAAGGCTATTGTCGGGCTATGGAAGATCCTTATCGATTCCGGGGCGTCGGGCAATTATGCTCGACGCTCCACGATTGAAAGGAGTCGGTTGTTTGCTGAGGCGCTGAAAGCGCGGTTGATTGATGCCATCACTGTATACTTAGCGACGGGGACTTGTGTCACTGTGCCGAGGGTTTCGGTGAACCTTGGTGTCAGCCTCTTGACTTTGATAGCGTGGAACGCTGCTTAGTTTTAGACTTGGTATCATATTATGATCTCATCCTTCGTATGGCATAGTTGGAACACCATGAACCAGTGATTGATCGGAGGTCGAATACCTTGGGCGCTACGCGCACGTCACCTGGTGGGGCTTTGGTGAGTTATGAATCCACCACTGCTAGGAAGCAGAAGCGCTATTGGCGCGAGCACTGAACCGGGACGGTCAATGTGCTGGGTATCGGAGTATCCGAGTTGTTGGACACCGAAGGTGTTTTGGACAAGAGACCCGAGCGTGGCTCGTGGGCTGAACGTGGAGTGGCACGTAGACCACTGAGCGCTGCTCAGGTATTGGAGCAGTCACTACATGCCAAGAGTGGCACCGTCGGCCAAGGTCTGATGTATCAAGGGCGAGGCCTTTGTGATGCGCGTGGAGAGGCACGTAATCCGCTTAGCACTGCTCACGTTTCGAAGCGGTTGCTGGATGTCATGAGTGGCATGGTCGGACAAGGTCCGAGGCATATTGGGCAAGGCCCTTCTGATGCGTAATGAGTGGCACGTTATCCACTGGACGAAGACTGCGGAAATAGCTGCTTTTCATTGGATATTGTTAAAAACATCAAGGCTCCGATGGTGCAGGGTGTGAGGATACTGGACGACCGTGTTGAGGACTTCAAAAGAGTGAACATTTTGCTTCCATATTGCAGTCTCTCCGTGCAGCGAGTTGCTCAACTTGTTAAATGGATATCAGAAACCACAATTATGTAATTATTTGACGCGTCTCATGAAAAAAAGCTTAGAACTATGGATTGCCAGCGCCTTGCCGGGAATTAAAAGACTGGCTACATGCGCCGACACATGTTGCGAGAATCATATCTTATTGTCACGACTCACACGTACGCAAATATGTATTTTTTCACCATGGCGAAAAAACGCTTACTGAGCAGTATGTATCCCCTCTTCCAGTTGACCACCCAAGAGGGTATTAGTAAACATTTCTGTACTTGAGGAGTTCGAAACTGTCGAGTGGGCTACTTCTGTAACACAACAAAGCTTTAAAATACAACTCAGCAATGCAAACGTACAATGCATTAGGGTTGTGACAAATCTAAAGAAGTCTTTTGGCTGTCAGGCCACTCATGCGGCCACTAATTTTGACAAAGCGCCTTTATTGTGCTAGGTGGGTTGCTTGCATTTACATTAATCTATGAGGGAAGATATAATTATGATACGATGGCTCGTTTTTGAAATTAAGTGTTAAAGCGGCTTTGTTCTTCCGTTTAGCTTTATTCAAATATATGTATGCTGCTATTGGTAGTAGGCTTCAAAATCTTTATTAGCGCAACATTTTGCCGATATTAATGTTCAAAGAAATGAGTGGCAACAACTTCTTCTTTTTATCCTCATCTCGACATAGTACGGAAACTTAAGTGCTTCGTTAAAGATAAAAGGGCGGATCATTTAATATAAAGCCATGTGTGCAAAACCTGTGCCTTGGCTTTGCGGTTCGACTTCAAATACTCTCGGACTGCCTTCTCAATAACGAAGAGACGGCAGTCAACATTGCCACATATATATTCAAACAACAGGTCGAAGCTGCAGCGGAGAATAAAGGAATTCTGTAGAGAACGGACGAGGTATCACAGCATAAATACCATCTGCCTATTGACATCTGTAACTCAGTAAAGACCGGGTCAAGCTACCACCTATTGGATCAAAAGACGTACATACAGTATTGTTTATATAACCACAATTTTTGTTCGGTGGGTCTAAGCCAAACAAGTTGCTGTAACGTCCAATTTTTTTATAATAAACAACTTATGGCCTGTCGGTCTGGCACGGTGGTAGTTTCATGCACTCCCTTTACAAAGCCTGAAAAAAAGGCAAAAAGTCCGATTGGCCATGCAGCGGGGCTTCCGTAGCTCTTTGCTTAGAGGGATCTGAGCTATGGTCACCGACCTTACGTGATTTATAAGAATCAGTACGAGTGCAGCGGAACGCAATCCGCTGCCCCCAAGAGAACTGAAAAATTAACCAAGGTAAAGGGACTTTTTCGTTCAAAATCAAAACTGTATTTAACTGTTCTTGTTGCGGCAGTGCCTTCAATATCTAAATTCCTAGCTTTTCCTAATTATTAGAGTAATACTCAATCAATATAGCAAAATCTAATCAATATAGTAATATGCATTACTCCTGGCAATCCTGCCACGTGGTGGCTTCTTGTTACTTTGTAGCCACACTACTGCGTGACTACACTAAATGTGTAATGCACACCTATGTACGGTCGCACAATCTTGTGCAACCCGTCGTTTCTTACAAAGGTACATGTAACCCGTTACACTTTCACCCTCCCATCAAATTTGTGAATATTCGCATTAAATGGTCGTCTAATATGAGACTCGCGTGTGAGACACCTTCGCTTTCATAAGAACAACTTTAAACCTTCTCGGATCTATATGCACAGTGTCTACGACACGCAAAGCACCCAAGCTAGCAGGTAGCGAGGGCGCCCACGGGCAGAGTCCTTCTTCTTCTTATGCACAAGGTGTTTATCCGGTTAGTACGTCTGCGGCTTAGCGGGAAGCACATCCCAAGCCCTCGGCAGCATGCCGCAGCACAACGCGCACGCCACGGGACACGGATATCCTCGTCGAGGATTCGGAGGAAGCCGACTTCGAGTTGGACACTCTTTTCCCAGCAAGGGATGACGAGGAAGATGAAGTTGG